TCCCCTGAAAATAAACTCCCCCGCCCAAGTGTCCTATAGAAATCGTGGTTAATAGTTAAATACTGGATTAAAGAGGGTAAATGCGTGTTAAATCGGGTGGAAAGTTAACACTGGAAAGTAAATTAAAGCCCCTTATAATTGTTTAATCGAGCTAAATATAATCAAATCAACCAACATGAACCCCCATTGCTTAGATTACCAATCCTTATTGACTAATAAGGAGAGTAGATAATTCATTTTGGCGGAAATTCGACATTAGGCTGGCTGAATTTATTTCTAGACAGCCTTAGGCAGACGTAATTTATTTTATGCGTCCCCAGAAGACAGTCCTGCCCGTAGCTGGATGTGTTTAAAATGCACGACTTGTTATTAAATTTATCTAAGTATGTGTTGTTCGGTTAGGCTCTTCCCCCCGTTAGGATTAGGGGTATGGTTAAAGTTAAGATTAAGTTTACAATTAAGGCCCTGGATGGAGTTTAGGTTAGGTTTAGAGGCCCCAGTTGAAAAAAATACCTGTGACCAACATTCCTGTTAGTCACGGTCCATGGGTCATCTGTTGTCGACCCCGAATATCTTTGTCAAAATGTTTTAGTAAAGGGGTGGAACACGAGGGTATGCTAGCAACGTTTTAATACCACACGATAACGTGCTTATTGATCATAAAAAATTCCTCTTCGGTTACAACAGAAAGATCAAGGCCCCAGAAAATCTGAAGCATGTAAAGCTAGGAGCTTTTCGCGTTGATATTCCACGGACCGCAGTTAATGATGTTTCAAGTAAAGGCGATAAGCAGCTGCATAATAACGGGGGACCATAAATAATACACTAGAAGGGTCGGTAAAAAGCGCTGCCAGAAGCCGATGATCGCAAATCTCGCAATCCAGTGGCCAATAAACAAATACGGTGGCATAAAGTACTAGGATTCGTTAAACATTGACTGTAGTTGAAAAAGACTTACGATTTGTAGATCAAAACCCTTTACATGAAAGCTGTGACGTGCATATAATAAGGTATTGGCCACACCAGAAACCTCACCGGTGTACTGGGTGTTCAGAAAACGTTCCGGAATTCATAATCGATGTTATTACTTGATCAAGTAATACGCGAGCGCCACTGAAAGCCCAAGCGCTTGAAATTGGCCCGCTACGTACATACCCCATTTGGTACTTCACGAATAAGATTCAGGGTTTATAAATTGGTCCGTAATATGGCACCTTCTCGGTATTCGTAACAAAAGATGCCAAGAAAGGAACGAAAGCAAGAAGCATTTGCTCATATTTAAGTCTCCGGCTAGTAATCAATATAGTGACAAGTCTGGAGAACTGACTAGAATGACTGCATACGAGACTTTCCATCGTCAAGGCCCCATTGATTCCGGCAGCTGTGCGGCTGACCGACAACGTTGCAAGGTCGCGTTCCACAGAGGGCAACTTTCGAACTTTCAGCTGAATCGAGAACCAGAAGCACTCAGACTGAGCAACCTAAATTGATCCATTCACACAAATTATATCAAAGGTGGTTGGCCCATGGACATTCGGCTTGATGTTCCGTAATGATGGATTCCATACCAGCAGTAAGTTGGGCGGGTAAAATCGGTCTAAGTTTGATTGAATTCATGGTTCACAATGAGCCCCGTAGCTCAATGGTAGAACGTTGGCTGCGCAAAAGTCTGCCCTACTGTGTTGATCGACTCTCACCGAGGCCGCGAATTGTTCCCAAGTCGGTCAACTGAATTAAGAAAATCTGCCGACTCCCCCTAACAACGATAGATAATTTATTGATTAGGTTGGAAGTCGGGTCAATTGCAGTGGGGTGAACGAGGGCGGCCTTAAGAGAACGATCGAAAATGTCGAGTTGGATGTCCTTGAAGTATGAGCCAACTCGAGGGAAGTCGATCATATCGCCTTTCCTGCCGCGGACAGCTCTGATGTGCGAATGGTTTTTGTTATGGAGAGATGGTTGAAAGCCTGATGTTCCACTATGCTAACCATACCTTGGCAGTTCTTCTTGAGGCGCCAAACAATTATTTTGACCCTTACTTTCCAGTTTGTGGCGTGCAAAGGCGTGACTTTTAGCATAGAGGAAGGAGACAGCTTGTATCACGTTGTTAGAATAAATTAATCACTCATAATTTGAGTAATAAGTTACTACTATACTTATGAAGACACCTATGAATTTCATTCGCTGGTAATATAGCCGAATGTCGGACATTATGGAATGGCAGTCGTGAGCATTGTAGCCGTTATAAATATTAGATTTGGAACAGGTGCATCATAACAATAGGTAGTTGCAATATCTAGTTTTGAGAGTTACGAAAGGATGATTACCAGCAAGTGGCCATGTGTATATTCTACATTATGCATCTTTCATGCCGCTCACGATAAGTAGAAACCAAAGTATTATCATGCATAATAGTTGCAGATGGTCACAATTGTAAAACTTTAGAGAGGGGGGGGGGCGTCCGAATTTTACGCTAAACCTACAGTCGAAAGCTTATTCCCGACATCATGGTCAGATTAAGATTTTGCAGCGCGTGGAATCTAGGAGCCAATGAAGAACGTTTGCGCAAGCATTATTTCCGTAACTATGGTAGCACAAAAGTATCAGCATCTGAATGTTACACGTAAGTAACTGTCATACAACATGGCAGTTCTTGGTTAAATACACTAGGACGTGCTGTGTTTGCATTTGTAGTTAGGTCTTGAAAGTGCAAGAATCTTCTGGTCCACCATTCATATGGAAGTCCGCTTATAGTTTAAAGAGAATTCTGCAAAAGTAGCTATAGAGGGAAGAAACTTCAGAGACAGTTAAAAGTACACACCGATAATAAAACAGTACCTAAAAAAGTTCACACATCTTTGCCGAACTTTGAAGTCCTTTCAAGAGTCTGGGAAGAAGACACTTCAACCCTTTGCATGGTAACTCCTTACTATATCAAAGGTATTTCTAAAAATACAGGGTGTCCCAAGAAATGGATACCTAATTTTGATAATTGTAAACTTGTTGTTGATTATAATTTTACTATTTCAAAAACGAAAACATATTTACAAATGTAATTTTATTGTTTTTTCACTGCATTTTAATTTTTGAAATAGTGAATGAATTGAGAGAAGCCATTGAACATGAATGCACACGAATATGAAGGGAATTATTTAATGGTGTGTACTTTTTCATTGCTTCGCGTTGTCAGCAGTGTTATGATCAAAATGGACGTCAGTTTGAGAGCATTCAGTGATAAAGACAGTAAAATTATACTTGTAAATATTTTTTACATTTTTTAATAATAAAATTATGAACAACATCAATTTCACAATAACATAAAATGTGTGTACAGTTTTTTGGGACACCCTGTAGAAATGGATTTGGTTAAACTAAATTTTGAGGGGGATCCTATCCGGAATTCTGTAGTATCCGAAAGGAGGGGCCTCTTACTTGCTGCAAAGATAAAATACCACGCTCATGGGCTAGAACGTTCCAATTTATTGAATGTCGTCTGGTTGAACGCCAAGGCGCAGAAATTGGGGGTTACGACAGCATATCTAAAGCACAGAGCTTGAAAAAGCGTAGTGAAAGAGAGGAACGATACCTATGCACTGAGAGGGGTTCTGTCAAAATGCAAAAACGAGCATGCGGCGCAGACTATTAGAGTGTCGATGTGTCGAATCGGGTTGGGTTAGTCAGAGATACAGCATCGTGAAAACCAAAAAGCTCCCCTCACAAGGGCAAATTCCGTCGTAAATCTGCCCGTATCTACTGGTCTGTGCTCCCTCGTCAAAAGCACCACCAGAGCAGACTAGGTGTTTGACATAGTCACCTCTGCCGAAGATGAGAAAGTTGGTAAGCTCATATTCCTATCTTTTATCCTTATTGCAGATATAGGATGCTCGTCTTATGACTGAAATATTGGTACAGCATAGGAAACACTATGGTGCCATGCGTGGTTAATTCTGAAGCAGGCTACGCTTCTATCAGACAGATGTTATGTAATTTCGAAGCTAGAGCTGGATATTGTAGTAAGTCTACAGTTAGCCTTAAACGGTTAACGGCCCTACCTTGCGACATAAGGGCATGCTGAAACTTGATCTTCTATTTTAATGATGCTTCTCTGACCCATCAGTTTTTTTATTTGTCCGATATAGGTAGGGACTGAATACTAGGTACCGATTTCCTACATGTATGTACAGGTCATATTACGGTATACCATCTACTGGCCTTGGTAAATATGATTACTAGAATTAGCACCCTTAGCATTGACATGTTGCTTTTAGCAGCAGTATCTTAGTCCTCGTAGTCCGAATTTAGTAGAAACTGCCACATCTCTTGGTCGATAGAGGTGAGAGGGTGGAAATCAAGGCAAACCATGATGTGCTCCGGGCCTCAAACATGAAATTACCCCGAACAACATAAATTCAGATTCACACGCCTAGTTGACATCGAGGTGAAATAAGCCTCAACGTCGACTTAAATCAGTGTTACTTCTGACTAATAGTAGCGACAGTAATAGTGTCAGTACTACTATCATTCAGTAGCATCGCTAGTGAGCAGTATTAGTAGCACGCCACTTATTATTGGACAGTTTCTATTGCACTGACTGGAACGACCTCCTCTCGGCCGAAAGGAATGCTGCGCAACATGAAATAGATACGGATAGGGTTCGACTAACTGCGTTCCTACCAGACACAGCTAAAGATGACGATAGATAAGATGTTTAATTGAAAAGTTATGAGGCCAGTTAGTTCCCCTCAGTCGTCTCCGGT